CTTATTTTGTTACATTTTGTATACCTACTGGCTATTAAAATCACGTAGTATGTAATATGACGATCAACGTGTTTTAATATATTATATATCTAAATGTACCTATATCATAAAATTACGTCAATCGTTGTACCAGTTAAACAATTTAATTTTGTTAATGTGTATATTAATTTATAATTCGTCTACTTTTAGACCTTGACAATCGACGGAATCACATGCTACAGAATCTATAAACCAGTCGACTAAATAGACAATATATACAATATTATGCTATTCTCAGAATATATTAGTATAGTTCGATTAATTTGGATATTTACTGCAGATCTATGAACAATTTGGCACACTACCTATCTATACTTTAAGAATATTGTGATAAATATGATACAATTACACAAAAATAAATTATTAATTCATTTTTAATTTTGGTCTTATGTTTTTAACTAATATTTACAAACGCCGCATGTGATATGTGATATGGTTTTATTTAAATGATCTCTTTTTTGATATTTTGATTTGATACAACAAACCCCTATAATTACCTTGTTGCTTGTACCATAGAGGAGTATGCCACGGAAATACTAATTTAATTATTTTATGACACAATGGGTATCTAAATATTTAAATCTGCAAAAGAACAGTGTCACATTGATTAATATTTAGAAAATAATATTTTCATATCATGATAACAATTCAGTCATCCATAAAAGTTAGTAAAACTTATACATAATTTAAAATTATTTTTTTTTAATCATAAAACAGTTATTTTTTGATTTTATACGAATAATAACAAATATATATATTGTGTAAATTTACTGAAATCTGTTTGAAAGTTGAAGGTKTCAAAAAGTTGAACCCACGGGTGCTAATCTTAGACGGTCTAATGAATCGTTATGTGAAGTCAGAATGGTGTTTAAAAAAATGGAGCACTGCAGCTGGATTTTATGAATTTAGTAATTACTAAATATGTTTTGGTTTTTTTTATAATACTTTTTAATTGTGATACGCAAATTCGGAAACACTGCAGGAGATACAAGTGTAGCTGACCAAAATCGGAGATAAAAAATATATATGATCGACGAACATGATCTTCAAAAACACTTTGATTGCATTCCCTTTGATTCTTTGACTAAGAATTCGATGAAAAGACCAAAACGGCCTAGAATTATTGAAATCTACAATTTCTTAAGAATGATATAGGTACATTAATAATGAGTTGGGGTTATACAAAATACATTATTCTACCTATTTCTAATAGGTGTATTAAAAAACAAAATGTTATCATGTAATTCATAAATTTAAATAAAACTGCTTGTATTCCACTTTCAAGCTAAAAGCTTATACAAGTAGCTGGGTTATCCGTAAAAATATTGAGGTTATCCAATTGGTATATACAATATTCAAAATAACTATATTTCGGTATGTATAATAATATATTAGTATATAGTTACAGGTTCTGTAATATATAATATCTATATGTTGAACCACAAAATAAACGGCTAGCATTTTTAATTAACTTTATCATTGTAACAATATTTAAAGCTTTTGAAATTACTGTTAACGCGTTATCTTAAGCTTCTTATTTATGCTTACTTTCGAATAAAAGATAAAATTGTTATTTATTGATTGTGTATTAAATTCTATTTATTTATTTATTTATTTATTTTTTAGCTTTCATTAATAAATCTAGCTATTTATTTTTATTGCAGTAGATAAGACAATATTGCAATATAGTTGATACATCTATTAATTTTCACGGAGGTACAAATGGTACAATAGAGCCGATCTCTATGTACAATATGTGTATATTACGGTCATCAATTCATATAATGTTAATTAAATTATGCCGGATTGTTGTTGGCGGTAACTGGTATTTATTATTAACATAGTAGGTATACCTGGAATTCTGGAACGATGCCACAGCCCATAGTAGCACCAAATTAGTCATCTGTAGTTAACAATTTAGCGACGGTGGACCGTACTTTACGATTGCTGAATAATGAATAAATGCCACACAAGAAAAAATCGACTTCAATCGATACCACTGGATTTTGTCACTTACTCATAGATTTTAAAACCATTATACCATTTATACCTAATGTATTTTATTATAAAACGGTGTTGCTACTTTTTCGGTGTAAACTTCATTCAATTTATTTGTACCTAAATTTTACATTTAAACCGAATCATTATATGTTTTTTGTTATCTTTACTTTCTAAACTATTATACCTACTTATAATTGTTACTATGCTAATATACTTTGATCGAAATCCATCATAACATGCTTCAAGCTTTCGTCAATGATTTATATAAATGATGTGTTACGTGCTTTTTATAAATAATATTTTAATTACATTTCCAATCAATTAAATTAAATAATATAATATACAGTTAAAAAATTAATTTACCCATATACAATATCAGTCAAAATTTTTGAAATTGATTTTTCGAACAAAATATTGAAACATTTGAGTAAATTAACTGATTTCACTGTTAATCATTTTCAGCTTAAAATTATGCACGGGCGTATAGTTACGTACAATTTTAATGTATCTTCCTAACTCATTTATCACTATATTTAATAAATAATTACTTTTATATAGATATAAAGTTTGTTTACTGAGACAAAGTCGGTAAATTAGTGATCAATTTTACTGGTCTATTCAGCAGTAAATTTAAATAATATTTAAAGTGTAATTGTTCCAACATCCGTCCGTATTTATATAAAATATATATTGATATAATCCTCAATGTTATAATATTGAAAATAAATCAAATTGCCTAAAAAATCGTTATTCTGATTATTTACAGAACATTTGATGTTTAAAATAATTATGTAAATAGTTGAAAAGTATTTTTTAAATTTTTTTATTGGATATAAGCATCCATAGGTTTACTTATTAGCAACAAAAATATTACATTTTTACATTATTATAAAATGTTATTGTACAATTCAATTTTTTTTAGACATAAAATTATGTTTTGATAATTAGAAAATGGACAAATTGCCTCGTACAGGTTGTCAGGGATGTTGAAGTCTTTCCTAGCTTCATTGAATAAGTTTGGGCAGTGGACGATGATGTGTTTGATGGAGTAGTTTTCATTGCATGTTGGGCATAGGGGAGGATCTATCTTTGCCATAAGGTGTCTGGCCTATTCTAAGTCGTGAATAACAATATATTATCCGAAGATATGTTAAGTAATAATATGAATACAATATAAATACATAAATTTATAATTACAATATAATATGTAGTATAGTACACAAATACTTTTGCAATAATTCAAAGTAATAGATAGGTATAATTATTGTATGACTATTATATTTAATAAGAAAATTATTAAAATGTACATTATTATTTCAATAATATGTTGAAAATCTAGGTCATTACATAATACACATATTATAGTTTGTGTCAATTAAAAAGATCTAGCCGCATTAAACATCCCTGGTAACCCTCCTCGTCGCCTTAAGCGAATATGGTGCAGAAACCTACTAAACTCTTAATCCAAATAACAAAAAAAAACAATAATTAAATAATTAAAAGACTAAAGTGTCATAGGTGGGTATAAGAAGGGCGTATTTGTGACAAGACCATTGGGGGGGGACTAATTTTTCTTTTTTCGCATAAATAAAATAAAAATATGAGTACCAAATTTAATTATTAAATACTCTATATATGAAATGTATAAATAATATAATATATAATGTAATGTATAATATAATGTATATGTATAAAAAAAAAAAAAATTGTAAAAACAAACATTTTGTTGAAACAATTATAATTAATAAATGAAAAAAAAAAATTATTAAATATTCATTTTATATGTATAACAAATATATACCAAGATGAGGTTGGTAGGTAGTCAAATACTGAAATTCTCAAATAACAAATTCAATTTTCCTTTTCTTAATTTTAGAAAATTTGTCGATTATATCATCAACTGATATAACAATATGTTTGTGAACATGCAGCAAAGCCAAACCTGTTAAGCGATTTTGGCCTATTCTGAATCGTAACCATGTTTTCAATAAATAAAAAAAATATATTTTAGGCCAATATTCGGAAGTAATAAAATATGGAAACCGATAATATGGTCAACTATTATGATTACTGCTTGGCTTAGGGTCTTCTAGCTTTTAAAATAACACAAATATGTATGCATTTGTGCACAAAATAGTAAAATTATTAAAGACTTATATACTTAGCTCAAATAAATACTCAAATATACGATAAGCACAACCACCAACATATGACCGAATAAGTACTAAAACATGACTAAATATTAAATATGCGATAACATAATATACCAAATACCTACCTATGTGAAAAAATAGTGTTTTTCTTAAATAATTGAAATTTTGGGAAAAATTAAAAGATGTTCCTTTCTGTTTTACTAATTGATTCTATATACAAAAATTTGTTTCATCCAAATCAGTGTGACCATAGTGCAGGCATAAAATTCTTATTATGTTAAGTACGATATCATTACGATTTACGATCTTTATCAAACGAAAATTGTTTTAATTAAATCAATGTATTACATAGAAAAAATACGACTGATGGGGGGAGGAGAATGCCCCCTTCGCCCCCCAATTAATACGCCCTTGCATATAAACGGTTCAATTATATAGTTCGTAAATAACCAACAAACGAGCTACATGCAACATTATTAAATAATATGAATATTTTCTTATTATTWTGGTATTTGCTATTTATTTTAAGTATCTGTTTTACTTGTAGCTTGTCGTACTTTAAATTAATTATTTTTTATGATCACTGTATATATAGCTTAATAAATAGTGAATGACATAAATTCATAATAATGCATTGCAATAATAAATAATGGCTCACATATTAAGTCTTTATTAAATTCATTATCAAAATATAATAGTGTTATAATATGTTTGATATTTTAACCATGATTGTCGGTTATAATAAAATAAATGAAATATTAATCACAAGAACATTTAATAAACTAATTGAGGATACCTAAAGTTTTAACCACGGCTCATTACACCGTGGTCTTAACTTATTTTTTTTTTATAACATTTCAATAAAATATAGTAATTTATATTTTTCGATAAGTTTATTGAAAAAAAAAATCCAGTTTGAATTTCGTTTATCATAACTTTAAAATAGTATAATATGAATAAATATTGTAATATCGACTTTAGTAAGTATAAGGTCATACATAATTCAAAACCATTCAAGGTTGAGTTTGTTAAAAATATATCATCGACCGYCATCATTTCATAAACATTGAAAAAAAAAAATTAAAGAATCATTTTCATTTTCTTTTTATGTGTTTTAAGAACTTTGGTTTTGTATTTTGTAATTCGTAATTGTGATTTTAATTGTAATTGTTGAAACTAATTGTATCCACAAAGTTTAAAAAAAAGAACTTTAGTGTTGATCTA